CTGATTGTTGTTTCTTGATCATTTATTATACTCTAGAAGCTTGAAAATATAAATAGTTGTCGAATAAAGCTCAATATTTTGGACACAAAAATGTAAACAAAGGCTTTGTTTACATACGGACTGGAGATCACCTTTAAAATCCTAGTTTAATGAAAAATGTCAAAGAATCTTCCCAATTTACACCTTGTTTATAAACTTGAAAATATTTTTCCAAAAATCTTGTCTGGATCAGTTGACATTTTATTTTGTAAAATTGAAGTAAACAGATGTACAGAAATACACAAACAAAAACGACTGGTTATGAAACTAATCCTGCTTTGAACAACTGGCCCAGAAGAACCTTGAGAAAACTGGAGACAATTACCAACAACAAATTCAGAGATGGAGTTGCTGGCCGAGGGGGGTTTTTTATTTGAAAAGCAAATATTATCGTACCAAAATTGCCAGTTCCCTAGAAGATTGTTGTCCATACCTCCCTCTAGTGATTACGCACTTGGTTGAAGGTTGCACCCCTAACTATGACCAATGGTCACCCCCCCCCCCTCCCACACCTCCTCTCTCTACTTTTGCATGTGTTTTCAAGCACAACAACTCTATCCTATATTCTACAAACTCATGGGGATTCATATTGCAGGTTAGGGTTTTATTAAGAGATTACAAAACCGGATTCCAAGTTTATATTGACATCGCATGCAAAAAACACCTGTGAGTTAGACTTGATTAACTCTTTAATGATTAACTCTTTAATTGGCAATGTGCCCAGATGCGCCCTACTTTGTTATTTTACTCAGTCTAACGCCAGACAATTTTACTTGTCAAGGGGAGAGCACTGGCACTTAATAGGTTAACTAGCCTATCTGTCCATGTGTCTAGTTAACCCATTGAGTTGCATTGTGCCCTACTTTATTATTTTACTCTGTCTAACACCAGACGATTTTACTTGCAATCGTCAAGGGGATCTCGAGTGCTGGCGCTTAATGGGTTAGTTCATCAGGTTATAGAGACTCAATATTCTGACCCCATCATTGTTTACCTGGACAAGCTGCTGATAACTGATCAGCACCACCATTATCTTTCACATGTTCACTTCCTTCCCCCGACAAAAGTCGCTTGATCTCTTCGCTTTGCGTGACATTGGCTGCAAGTTCATTCTTGTGTGACCTGATAGTCGGGTTAGCTCCGCTTTGCAACAAAAATGAAACAACATGCTTGTGGCTCCTTTTAGCTGCCCAGTGTAGTGCAGTCCAACCGTTCACTCCATTTTGGGAATTTACATCGACGCCGGCACCGACAAGCACCCCAACCTTGTCAACATCCCCCAAGCAAGCTGTCTCTCGTAACGATTCTTCTAAATTATGAGGATTTTGCATATCGTGTTGAATGTCTAGCTTATAAAATATTATCTGCTGGCTCTAAATGGCTCGGCCACAAACTTTTGCAATCAAGTGCAACCAATTAAGAATTTGCATGGTCAGGACCATAGATATCTCATATACACTAGATAGCGCATCTCGGAATACAAAACTGAAACCAAAAATCTCAGCGGTTTCCCCCATGAAAATAGGCGGCGGCCATATTGGTCGTTCCCACTCATCAATGAAATGCTATAGAAAATACTATTAGGCATAGATATCTCATATACACTAGATAGCGCATCTCACCCTGTAGGCAGGCGAAAATTGAAGCCTGATCGCAGTCGCAGTTTACGTGCGGCGGCCATACTGGTCGTTCCCACGGAGCGTGATAATTTGTATATTTTGTATTGCGGAAATGGACAAAGTTGACAATAAATCCTCTTTTATGCAGTCAATTTTGGTTTTTCAAGTGTGCAACTTGTTGTAAATGATGCCAGACCGTTGGAGCTTCATATTGTGAATAACGGGTAGGCAGAATTTAATTTTTTTTTCTCGAAAATATTGATATTTGTCGACCCGTATGAAGGGCGCCCATAGGACAAACCTTATGGACAAACCATCATTGTTGATGTATATATAAATATAGTTCCACCAATTCCAAATAAAACATTTTGAGCCATCGCCATTGCTTCATGTCTTAATACAGACACCTCTCTGATACAGACACTTCTCTAATACAGACACCTCTCTAATAGGGATGCCTCTCAAATACAGACACCTCTCTAATACACATACTCTCTAATACAGACACCTCTCTAATACAGACACCTCTCTAATACAGACACCTCTCTAATACAGACACCTCTCTAATACAGACACCTCTCTAATACAGGCACCTCTCTAATAGGGACGCCTCTCTAATAGGGACGCCTCTCAAATACAAACACCTCTCTAATACAGTCGCCTCTCTAATACACATACTCTCTAATACAGACACCTCTCTAATACAGACACCTCTCTAATACAGACACCTCTCTAATACAGACACCTCTCTAATACAGGCACCTCTCTAATAGGGACGCCTCTCAAATACAAACACCTCTCTAATACAGTCGCCTCTCTAATACAGACACCTCTCTAATACAGACACCTCTCTAATACAGACACCTCTCTAATGCAGACACCTCTCTAATACAAACACCTCTCTAATACAAACACCTCTCTAATACAGACACCTCTCTAATACAGACACCTCTCTAATACAAACACCTCTCTAATACAAACACCTCTCTAATACAGACACCTCTCTAATACAGACCCTCTCTAATGCAGACCCCTCTCTAATGCAGACCCCTCTCTAATACAGACATCTCTCTAATACAGACACCTCTCTAATATAGACACCTCTCTAATACAGACACCTCTCTAATACAGACACCTCTCTAATACAGACACCTCTCTAATACTGACACCTCTCTAATACAGACACCTCTCTAATGTGGATACCTCTCTAATACAGACACCTCTCTAATAGTGATACCTCACTAATACCGACACCTCTCTAATAGGGACACCTCTCAAACACAGACACTGTGCATTGTGGGTTCCTTTCATATAGAATCCAAAATTAAATCAGAAAATGCTCTATTTTTTTAGTATCATTGCTCCCAGTGTGCTGAAGGATTGGTATGTGAGCGAAAATATCACCAGACTTATGGAAAATGCCGACCCATTCCAACCACTGTTCGACCAACAACTGAAGAAGGTTCGGGCGAATATGATGGAGGATTGCTTGAATAATACTTTGTTCATGCTGACATGTAAACATGGAAAATACATGTCAACGAGTGCTATACTTTATGTAGAATAGAACTAAGTAAAGCAAAAAATATATATCATTGGAAAATATTTTGTGTGATGTTTTAACTTTCATGACCTATGGCTATGTTTGCAATCGCTATACAGTATATGTAAATTAAAGCTGGACGATTCAATGGTTACTCCGTCATAATGTGGATATGAAATAATCACATTGGGTTATTCCAGAAAACATCTATATCTTCCACACAAAGGACATTGCAAGTTAACCCCCTTCAGATGTCCTAATGCACTTAATATTATTATTATTCCTCTACCCCTCTGGATGGCAGAATTTCTTCCATAGAGGAAGCATGGATCTTGTCTCAAACAGCCCATTCAACATTATGATGTCATGCTGTGGAAATATGAATGAATAAAAAATGTGGAAGTGCAACCACAACACCATCTTCGGCTTCCATTGATAACACAAGTTTCAGGCTTGATAATTCTTCATATCCAGGCCTGCAAATTAGTGCCGGTCATCGGACATTATCGGGCCAAATTTTACCTTTTGTTCGATCAAAGCTTTTTATGACTGGACGTGTGACCGACCAATTTAGGCTAGTCAAATCTCCAATCTCAAAAAATTGTTTATTTAACACATTTTAATTTTAATTAATGAAACCAACAAGAAAGTAATATAGACAGCACTTCTCCATTTATTTCTTGTTGCATTAATTAAGCCGTAAGATTTAATTATAAATCTACACCACCTTCATATACATGGTAGAAATTAAAGTTATATATAACCTGAACCATAATTTACTGATGCATTAGGACTGATAGATATATACTAAGTTTTAGATGCACTGCAGTGCGGACTAACATGACCAGGCAACACAATTCATCGTGCTAATTTTCAAAACAAAATATGAAAAATTTTACTTTGCGCATTAAATTAATAAATGTCCGACCAATTTTTGGCTTGGCCAGACATTTGTCCTTCCAAGTAAAATAATTATTTGCAGGCCTGATATCATGCTAACCTTATTCAATAATTGTTCAATATTTGGTAAGCATTGTTCACTATTTCAGGAGTTAGCAAGGGCATTTGGAACCATGCAAATTTTTGAAATACTGAACAATGCTACACTTGCTCAACGAGTCAGCAAGTGAGCTGTGCAATGAGCGAGCTAGTTGCAACTTGTGTAACAGTTTTAGTAAGCCCCCTGTCATGCAACATACCATTAAAGTTTACATTCACACATGTCTACACCATTGCATATCTGGAGCAAGAACTTCAAACATTCAGCCCATGAGAAAAGTGAAGCCAACATGGCAGAATTTGCGATTCCCCTTATTACGTTTTCGTAGTGCTTTGCATTGTGGTGATTGTGGTATCACTGATATTCAAGATGGCTTATTTTTTGTCCTGACCCGTGCAAGAACTTTTAAAAAAAGCTAGCGTCAGCTGCGCGATAGCCAACAGCAAAATATTTGCGAAAACATTCAATATTTTCATTCGAGGCCGCTATCTTTATCAGTGATACCACTATAACCACAATGCAGAGAGCTGCGAAAACGTAATAAGGGGAATCGCAAATTGACATCCAATAGCTATTAAAGTCTTAAACAGTTAACCCATTGAGTCGCATTGCGCCCTACTATATTATTTTACTCTGTCTAACACCAGACAATTTTACTTGTCAAGGGGAGAGCGTTGGTGCTTAATGGGTTAACAGGCCGCCTATCTGCCCATGTGTCTACTGTCTATATAGTTAATCCATTGAGTCGCATTGTGTCCCGATGCGCCCTACTTTATTATTTTATTCTGTCTAACACCAGACGATTTTACTCGTCAAGGGGAGAGTGCTGGCACTTAATTTTATGCCCCAATAGCTCCAGCTTCACTTTTTGGATTGGAATTCTCGCTCCAGATATATATGGAACTCACAGGCACAGAATAAAACACACAGAAGCAGGCTTTTAGCCAGAAGGGCGTCCAGGCGTCAACGCCCCTAGAACGAAAAGTGGAAGCCTTTGGACGCCCAAATTCTGGGGGGAAAGGGAAATTATTTTCAATTATTTCCCTAAGTATATTAATTAATATATCTGAAACGAAATACCTTCAATTCTCATTATTATTATACACTTGACATTTTGATCAATTTGATGGTGTACCTGGCTGAATGAAAATGTTGTAGTTAAGTAAAGAAGCATAGCGGCACAAACTCACAAAGCCAAGTGTGTTTTAAAAATTTCGAACAAGCTTGGAACAGATACTGACATGAAGTAACATAAACTTCAAAGATTTTCCAGA